TTAAAACTTGAAATATGTATGTTTTAAAACTGTCTTGACTCTGTCTTCACACTTCATGTTCAAATAATGCATGCTTCGCATAGCCATAGGTCATTCCATGTACCTAATTTTGTGTTTCGGGGCCATTCCATGCATCGAGTGCCATGTTTCCATGTCTCGGGGTCATTTTGCATCACATTTCAGTGCTGAAACTTGCATGTTTGTATGTCATATTTCGTGCCTTGCCATGCCTTGTTAGAGTGGCATTTGTGCCTTAGGATCGGTCCTCAGTTTGCGTGCATGTGTGCACGCATTCGAGTGTCTCATTTTTCATCTCATGGCTACTAATGTGAGTGTGGCTGTGGTCCACTCATGTTGGTGTAAGTCCATTGTGCATTGAGTATGCCATTTCATTCATAGCATTGCGTATGCTAGGTTGTATGTTAGAGCATCGTGTATGCCATGTTACCTCGTGCATTGTGTATGCCATCTCATAGCATTGTGCATGCTAGGTTGTATATTAGTTGCATTCATGCATGTCATGCATATTGCATTCTGCTTGGGATAGGAGTTAGCCCGAGCACAGGAAACGGGGGATGTTTCGTACTTCGAGTGACTGAACGTGTCTCAATTCCCAGTCACCGACACTCCGAATTATCCATGATGGAGTTTAGGTTTTGTTGTGTTTATATGTGCATTCATTTCATATTGAGTCGTGCAATTCGAATCCTCGGCCATCATGCATTGAGATGCATGATTGGTGGCACGAGGATCGAGGACTACACTCCCCGAAGGGTAGTCATGCATACATATGTGAAAATACTTTGCCATGCCCTTTTGTTGCTCTCTGTTGCAGCAAATCAGAAATCGGCAGCCTTCCGGAGCTTGACACGCATTCCAAGAACAATAGGCAAACCGGGGCATCGCGAGGGATTCTCCGCACAAGGCAATCCGAGCATTCATCATTCATCATCCGGAGCAGATTTGAGGCAGTCCCTGGCTTGCATGCCAATTTATTGCTTTCCTATTTTAATTTGTTAATTAATTAGGGTTTTGTACATATTTGGACTGTAATTATTCATTTTTGTATATTATTTATTCGGACCCTCCAAGCGAGGGCACAACTGTAAAGTAAGATTTATACTATTATGGGACGAGAAGATGAACTACTGGAAGAAGAAGAAGCTAGTGCAGCAGGAGTTTGTGAAGGAACTAGTTGTTCTTGCTTTCTTTTAAGTCTCCTTACAAGTGCTGCACCACTGGAAGAGGAAGAAGCTGGTGCAGCCGGAGATGGTGGAGAAACTGGTTCCTCTTGTCTTCTTTTAGATCTCCTCTCACGTGTTGCACCACCTTCCGATGTTGGTTGAGAAATACCGCCTACTGGCTGTGATTGAGATGCAAAGAATTTTTGAAGTTCTTCTTCTCTAGTCTGAACCCTTTGTTCAGTCTCCACACCTGGGTTGTAAAGTGTGAAACCTTCAACATTAGTGGTGTTTAAGGGATTACCCTTATACTTTCTTTTCTGGATAATGGGAGTAAGCCTTTCTATAGCCAAAGGAATGGCTTTGACTGGGGACTCAACTGCATATATATAGAAAAGATATATACTGTTATATACCCAAAAAAGAAATCTTAACAAGAAATATAAAGTAAGAAGAAAATAGCTGCTTACCAATGCTCATGGTCACTCCTTTTTTGTTGTCAGGGTGCACATTCCAGAGGCATATTTGAGTTTCTTGATTAAAGATTACTGCACTCATAAGAAGCCATCAATCTTTGAATCTTGTAGAGAGAAAGGGTGTGACTTTGTAGTAGTAGAAGCTGAATTGATCAAATAGTTCTTGATTGTGGGCTAGAAGGGCCTCTACATCTGTTTGATTTTTGAATTGAATTCTAGCTCCAACTTGCTCATGAACAGTGGGATGAAAATATCTTATGAAGAAATGCCTAGATTAGATAGAACATTGGTGGAGC